AGTGAAATACAATTGGTCTGCTTTTCAAGCTAACAGCCAGGATGGCTAGAAATTATAGAACCAATGTAGCAGAGAATAAAGAATGTTACAGAAAATTCAGAGATGAGCAGAATGCTTAGCTTGGATATTCAACAGGGTACTGATTCATCCATGTGATAAAACTACTCAAGGCCAATGAAATAGCTACTTGAAAAGAAGAAAAATTGAGGACAACGCCTGTCCCTGTTCACTCCAAGAAGACCAGAAGCCTTCATAATTCTTGATACCATTCTGAAAAGCAACTGGCAACTTGGGATAAGGAAGAGAGTTGCTTCCAGATGGCATAAGGACCTTTAAGAGGATATGAAATTCCATATTTTGAATCTGTTGACATGTTCATGACTGTCAAAACTCACTGAGCTGTATACTTTAAAAGAATATAATATCTCAATAAAGTTGATTGAAGAGAAATAATGAAAACTGTATATCCCACAGATATTGCAATTGGTCTCAATCAGTAATCAATCTGACTTACTCTACTGTGGAGATTTCCTATGCTATATAAAATGTTTTTCTATAGCAGAAATGCTAGACAACTTTTGAGATTTTCTTGAGGAATAGAATTAAGCTGAAAGAGGGTGAAGAACAAAGGATCCTTCCTGCTGGAATGAGTCATGGTCAGCAGTGAGTTCTGGAATTAGTTGCTTTGTGACTAGGGTAGAAGGTCCCCTGGAGGCCCATTTCTGCTGGCCAGTTTTGGAAGCAGTCATTACAAATGTACGTGGAGTCTGTATGTCTTTCCATAAATTAACTGTGCTCAATAGTAACAAAGCGACAGTGTACATAAAAATAGATATTGTACCATCAGCCAGTTACACCTCTGTACCAGTTGCTTTGAGTCCATTAATATCTGTAGTCATTTTATAGCTCTAGTCCAGTGTCATTTGTAGATTTTCACTGTAGAATTTCATGAATGATCCAGAAAAATCAGCATTTTAGCCTACTTCCTATTATAATTTCTAATACAATCAATGTCCAAATTATTAGACAACAATATTTCTCTATAAATACTTTGAAGCCAACACAGCTGAGAACCAAGCTGAATTTAATTTTCCCCCAAATGGAGCATCTCAGGGTAATATAGATTTATCAGAGTAATTTATTTCCTTTGGCTTTCTCATTGCTTTTCCCTTTGGACTTTACTTTGGTTGGAGAAGGGCATTATCAGGAAAAGGAGTGTAGTCTTCTTGGCAATTCTACTTTCTTGCCTGTTGAATTCTGTTTCACTAAATAAAGACAACCGAATTGCTCTGGCACCATCCTGCCCTATCTTCCTGTCATCTGCAGTCTGTCTCCATCTGCCTCTCTTTCTGTCTCCATCTACCACATTGTCTAGCAGTTCTTGTTTCCTTAATTGTCTTGTCTCCCTCCTTAAAGAAAGCTACATTCTGCAGATTATTTGCACATCTTGATATTTTCCTCACCCATCCAAATTTAAATCTATTGCTTTCATGAAACTATTTAAAATACCACAGATGTTAAGGAAATTACCAACATCAGCTTCTTTCCTGTCTTACAAATGATGTTTCACTGTGTGCCAAAACCCAGCAGAGGGCATCCTTCCATTTCAGATGCATGAATAGTTCATGAAAAAGGCTCCCCATTTCCCACAATATATTCCCTTTATAACTGTGCATTAGAATTTAAATAAAAGAGCCATTATAATGGGAGAGGAATTTGTTGCATAAGTTATTTTGGAGTGTCTGCCACTTTCAATTATAGATTCAGAGGTAACTCTCCTCTCGTAAGAAAAAAAAAAAAGGAGGAATTTTTTTTTCCTCTGGACTCTTTCCAAATTTGCAACAAGGTAGCACCTGTGTCATGCTTCCTTCTCTAAACTGTCATTTGTGCCAACAAAGCCACACAGCAAAAGCAATTGAGAAAACAGCATGCTCCCCACCTCATTTACCTGTTGTGCTCTCTCTTTCTGTTCCTCCAACTGGAAATCAAATAACAGCACCAGCATCATAGCTTGTTACATTGTCTCAGGTGCAGGAACAAGAAACACAGTGTAGCTTACAGGTGGGGAAAGGAATGATCAGAAGCAGTGATGCTGACCTTAGACCTCAGGGGGTAGGCAGCAGTCCAGGCGTTTTAATTATACAGTTTCACAGAAATTGGTAGCACATAATGAGAAATAAATTATACTGTTAGAATTTACCCTAAAGTAAAAAGTATATGCTTGTGGTCTTTACAAGTTATATGATTGAGTTTATCAGATACTTTCGTGAGGGAAGAATGTCTTAGGGAGGGAAGGCTGGAATAAGAGAAAGCAATACAGAATGCTTCTTATATCCACTGCACACATGATTAGTTGAACACATTCTTTGTTCCAAGTCCTGCAAAGAACACATCAGCAAGAGGTCTCTTTCTTTAAGGTGATATGTCAAAAAGCAACAGTCAGGAGTGACAGCACAGATGCCGTGCCTCTTGCCATGGCCAGTTGTATCACTTGGAGCAAAGGAATAAATTTTTCTGTTTTGAAAAGCAAAGATAATAATTGTTAGGATGAGAAGTTATCACTATGCTCCTAAATCTGTATTGTGAAATACATGAATTTTTTTTATCTTATATAAATAACAGTTTTTTGAAAAGTATTGCTATTTATTAAAAAAAAAAAAACACTTTGTTCCAGCACAGGAACTCAGTACTTATATGTATCATATATAAAATACTCACAATTATTCCATGAGCTGTTATAGTCTCATTTTTATTTTTCAAAGAAGGAAATCAAGTGATGGAGTCACAAGATAAGAATTAGAATAGGGATTTGAAACAAGGCCATCTGGCTCCAGTGTTGGCCTCAACCTGTCTGTGCTCAACCACGGCAGAGTGCTGGGGCCTGCTGCTGTGGCATAATGAGTAAAGCTGCCATCCACAGTGCTGGCATCCCATGTGAGTTGCAGTTTTAATTCCACCTACCCCACTTCTGATCCAGCTCCATGCTGAATAGTAGTAGAAGACAGCCCAAATGCTTGGTCTCTAAACCCAGATGGGAGACCCAGGAGAAGCTTCTGGTTCCTGTCTTCAGCCCAGTCCAGCTCTGGTTGCTTTGCCATTGGGGGTGGTAAACCAGCTGAAGGAAAATCTCTCTATTGTTTCCATTTCTCTCTCTGTGTTAACTCTGCCTTTCAAATAAGTTAAATGCATGTTTTAAATAAAAAGAATGGATTTCTTTTCTCAAGAAAAAAAGATTTATTTATTTTCATTGGAAAAGCAAGTTTACAGAGAGAAGGCAAGACAAAAAAAAATTTACATTCCCTGGTTTACTTTCAAAATGGCTGCAATAGCCTGAGCAGAGCTGAACTGAAGCCAGGAGCCAGGAGCTTCTTCCAGGTCTCCCACATGGATGCAGGATTCCAAACACTTGATTCGTCTTCCACCACTTTCCTAGACCATAAACAGAGAGCTTGACAGGAAGTGGAACAGCTGAGACCCAAACCAGTGCCCATATGGGATGTCAGCACTTGGAAGTGGAGGATTAGCCAGTTGAGCCATTGTACCAATCCCATGAAGAGTGGATTTCTAAGGGTATCTTGAGTGTTGGATGAGCTTTCAGGAATAAAGCTGAGCATGTACTCCAGTTACTATAACAATTATTGATGTTATTTCTATTAATTTGCCATTGTGGTAGCTTTCTGAGAACTAAGAGTATATAAATGTATCTTTCGAAAAAAAGACAAAAAAGAGAAAGAGAGCAAGTCCATCCACTGGTTCACTCCCTAACTGCCTGCAATGGCTTGCGGCCTGAGACACAACTACTCAAGCCAACACCAGTGCCTCCAGGGATCAGTGCAAGCAGACAGCTGGATTCAGGAAGTGGGGCTGGTGGTCTAACCCAGGTCCTCTCATATGAGACGCAGCTGCGAATGTCTGTCCCAAGGATATACGTTAAAATATATTACAAGAATAGGGTCAATATTTGTAAATTGTGTTATTTCAGAATGTAGTGGTGTATGTCCAACTCTTATAAAACTTTGGACTTCTTAACAACACAGTGAATCATGGCTTCTCTGCATTTATCTTGCCGTGAGATGACAGCCTGCCTCTAACTATGCCTTGTAGATTGGATATCATAGCACAGATGTCCTCAAAGAAAACATGAAAATCTTTTCTATAAATTTTTCTAACTTCCCCAGGAAGTTGAAGATTAAGTTCAAAGCTAAACAAAACCAAGCTTCAAGTATCTATCTGTCGTTTGACAGGCTCTTCGCTTTGCGCTAAATGCTCCAGTGAGCCACTCAGAACCCAACAGGTTGGAGTGTCCCTTAATTCCCATCTTTCACCCTTTCCAAGTACACTTCCAGTGCCTTCTCCTTGCATTTTTTTCTCTTTAAGCTGCTCATAAATCAATGGGGGTTAATTACACCAACAGCATTAGTCAAAGAGAAATGAAGCAGCTATGCTTTGTTGCTGTTTTGGGGTTTCTCTCTGCTTACTGTGGCTTGAATTTATGTCTCACACTGCTGCATAATCAAAATCAAGAATAATTTTCAACAGCAGATAGATAAACATGCAGCTCCAGGCCCCATGTCTTATTGATTTCATTTCAAGGATGTCATCTTAGGTTCATTAGGTAAGAAACAGAGTGTCTGACAATGGGCTATAAGGGAATTCACAAATGTGTCTTACAAATATTCCATTTTACCTCCTTTTACTAAACAAGTAGCTTTTATCCCACATGTCAAGCTTTGCTATGCAAAACTAAAGTAAAATTGAACCTGTTTAAGAGGTATTCCTATTCAAAAAGGCAGTTTCATCTTGATTTGCTCCATTGTACTGCATGAATGAGCTCTCTAACAGGATGTTGCTTGAGAGAATCAATGCTTCAATAGTTTAGATTTGGCCTCCAAAAAAAAAAAATAGCAAGTATGATGCAAATTACCTAACAGGCTTATAAATTTCTACCATCACTGCTTGGATTCCACGGAGGAGGAGGTCATTTTTAGCAGAATACTCACCCCCAGGTAATGACCATCAATGAACACAACGGGGAGAGAAGGAGCTTCCGAAACTCGGCGGCATCGTTCATCTAACTCTTTTCCATATTCACCATTCAGGGCAATGTTTTTCTCTTCAAATTTTACCCGATGGTTTTGGAAGATCTTTCTAACCAGTTCACATCTTTCAAAGGTTGTCCTCACCACACGTAGGCAAGTAGTATAAATCACTACACGATCAAATTCTAGGTCAGTCGAAGGTTGCTGAAGAGGAAACATTGTAGTGTAAATACATTTGCTGTTATCATTATACTCATTATCTTAGGGCAAATAATACATTTAGTAATTATCATACATTAAAAGCACAAGATAAAAGTTGAATGAGCATCTTATTTATCAGTTCTAAGACATGTCTTTTTTAAGTTAGAACATCAGTGATTGGGATAATAATAAAATTGAATTTCATACTAGTATTTCATATAATGTTTGACCTTTAAAGTGATGATGTCTCAAAGGGAAACTATGAGGCTAAATACTGAAGACTGAAATATCTGCTTAGATTTTGTAGACATTGTTCAATTACTATATCTGCCTCTTAATCACAAAGTAATGTATGCCGTAGATTAGTAAGGGAAGCATTTAACCAGATGAAAATGTTACTGGTAAGCTTAGCAAATTTTAGAGCCATAATTTCCCAGGAATATCAGCCCTTTCGCACTTAAGGTTTTTGATATTTGTGTGGCACATCATACGTGCATGTGCTCAACTGAATCACAGAACTCCAGCACAAACTGAGAAGCTTCCAGCACAGAAAATGAAAGGTGGAATTTCCCAAAAGTCAACACCCATGTGAGTACAGAAAGGACACAGGAAATCAGACATTGGGGCAAAGGCCTGCAATATTCCAAATTGAGGCAAACAGTGTCTGATGCAAGAAATTTTTTTCCATGTTTTCTACCAAATCCAAAAATCAATGCCTCATTTCGTGGAGAACTCTGCCAAGCACTTCAGTAACACAAAAATGGGCCATGTCAGTCAGGGACAAAACACAATTATATGATGAGATGATGGGTTTTCAAGGGATTACAGCAATTAAACACACAACCACATAATTTGCACACCCACCATGACATCAAAACACCGATTGCAAACAATTCGAGGCAGATAAATGTTAAAACCAGCCAGCAGAGCTGAATGCTGAGATGCAGGGCAGACCACCTTGGACTGGGTCTTAGCACCCTCTGGCACATGCAAGACCCAGGACTAGGAGCAGGCCTAAGAGAACTTTGGGACTTCTGTGCTGGGCTAGTGCTTCTGCTGGTGAGTGTGAGAACTGCACTGTGGGTGGACCAGGCTGAGCTAGGATGCCATACTGCTGATGAGCACCAGAGCTAGAGTGGGTGAGAGCCACCTGGTCTATGTCTCAGCCCCCACTGGCAAGTGCCAAGCCTGGGGGAGTTATGCCAGGCTGTGCCCTATGGTAAACAAAAGATCTGGGACTGGGAGTAGGCCTGATATGGAAACTATGGGCACTCCCCTACTATATTGGAACTCCCACTGGTTATCATGACACTGTTAAAAGAGGAGTGGATAAAGAAACTGTGGTGCATCTACATAGAATACTACTCAACCATTAAAAAGAATGAAATCCTATTTGCAGCCAAATGGCCCCAACTAGAGACCATTATACTCAATGAAATAAGTCAGTCCCAAAGGACAAAAACCATGTTGCCTCTGATATAAGACAACCTTTATGCAAATACAAGATCAATAGCTTTTTCAGTACTGTTTTCACTACATCTCACAGATTTTGATAATTTTGTCTTTCTTTACATTCATTAAAAAATAGTTTTTATTATTAATTTCCTGACTGACTCATAAGTCACAGAGTAACACTGCTTGCTTCAGGAAGGTCTTTGATTTTCTTTTCAATTTCTGCAGTGACACATTGGTCAATCAGTAGCATATTACTTAACTTCACGTTGTGAATGTTCTATTTTTCTCTCTGTTCTTTATTTTGTTTCCTGGCTTTTCACTTAAGGGGGTGTACAGTAACTGTAGTTGGCACTATCATGTACAGATGAGAAAGATACAATGCAATGTGCCTCCTTCCAAATCAAAGACAGAGTCCCATGAAACTGTTGAGTGTATCTTGACAAGAGGATGCTGGGCTCTCTGCCATTGTCCATGCCTACAATGTTGGGATACACTTAGATAGCAGAATGATGGATTTCTGATTGATTCTAATGAACAATACTATTGTAATGACATGGGGAAATCAGTGGGGGAAGCAGGGTTTGGGGATGGGGGAAAGAAGATCCCGGAGCTTATAAAACTGTATCATGGAATAACAAAATACATTAATTTTTTTAAAAAGAAAAAAGTAGCATCTCAGAGAGGAACACATTATGGAGCTTGCAGGCATGTATCTCTGCTATTGTCAGACATGATTATTTTATGAAACAAACTTAAATCTTGGTGCTTAAAAAGTTTCAGCTTTCTAAACGGCAACACTACGTTTTCAAAGATTGGACCAATGGGTCTAAAGGCTGAATGCAGCATACACCTGGCAATAGAAAGAAGCTGGGCTTAGATACTAGACACAACTGGGCTCTGCCATGGCCAAATGTGGTGCCTCTGGACAGCTAATGAGCTGTTAGTTTTCTCATCCATAAAAAGTGGTAATAATAACCACGTTACAGGTGTGCTGAGACTAAGCAAGAGACAATATGAAAACAATTAGTGTAGGGCTGACAACATAGCAACATTTTAATAAACACAGAGAAAAATACTATACTTCTGCTACAGATATCACACTTTCTTTCCCACTCATCTGAAAATTGACACTTAAGTTGCATCCCTATCTTGGCTATTGTGAATTATGTTTTATACGCATATGGATGTAGACATGTTTAAAAAGTGGTGATTTCATTTTCTTTCACCGAGAAGAGGGATTGCTAAATCATATAGCTCTTCTATTTTGTTTTCATTTCTTAGGAACCCACATAATGCTTTCTAGAATGGCTGTACCAATCTATAATACTAGAAACTGTGCTCATGCATTGTTTTGTTCACATCCTGGCTGGCACTTGTTATTTTTTATCTCTTTAATAGCAATAATTCCAACATGTAGATTATAACCCCCTATGATTTGGGTATGCCTTTCCCTGGTGATTTATGTTCCTTGTATACCTGTGGGATACACACACACACACACACACACACACACACACACACACACACATATATATAATTGGAAAAGAAGATTTACAGAGAGACAGATCTTCCATCCGCTGGATCACGCCCAAAATGGCTACAACAACCAGAGCTCTGCTGACCTAAATGCAGGAACCAGGTCCTTACTCCAGGTTTCCCTCACAGGTACAGGGTCCCAAGGCTTTGGCCTATCCTCTATTGCTTTCCCCAGGCCACAAGCAGGAAGCTAGATGGGAAGTGGAGCAGCCAGAACATGAACCAGCCCCAATATGGGATCCCAGTACCTGCAAGGTGAGGATTTAGCCACTGAGCTACTGCTCAGGGCCCAATGTTGTATATTTTAATGTATACATTTTTCAAGTCCTTGCCTAAAGACATTTATGTCTAATAATTTTGAGGGGTTTTTAGAAGTTATAACAAATGGAATTGTTTTTAGATTTCTTTTTCTGATCCATCACTAAAGAAATGCAACCAATTTTGTATGTTGATTTTACATTCTACCACTTTGCTGAATCCATTTTATTAGTTGTTCTGTTTTTATTGGCATGTTTAAAGGTTTCTACATTCAGGATTATATCATTCACAACTAGGAAGAATTTTATTTCTTCCTTTACAAGTATGGTGCTTTTAATTTCCTATTCTCGTATCATTCTCTGGAGAGGACTTGCAATACTGTGTTAATTTGAAAAATGGTAATAATGGACAGCTTATACTCAGCTGTGGGTTTTTCATGCTTGGCCTTTATTACACTGAAGAAATTTCCTTTTGTATCATATCTTTCAAAAGTGTCCTTTCTTTTAGATTTATTTATTTTTAGATTTATTTTATTTAGATTTATTTATTTTATTAGAAAGTCAGATTTACAGAAAGAAGATGAGACAAACAGAAAGATTTTTCATCTGCAGATTCACTCCCAAATGGGTTAATAGCTGGAGCTGAGTGTTTCTAAATTCAGGAGTTCTTTCGAGTCTCATACGCAGGTGTAGGGTCCCAAGAATTTGGGCCATCCTCCACTGCTTTCCCAGGCTACAGGCCACAAACAGAGAGCTAGATGGGAAGTAGAGCAGCCAGAACACAAACAGGAGGAATCCATATGGGATCTGGCAGTTGCAAGGTGGGGATTTAGCAATTAGGCTATTGTGCCAGTTCTGTGTGGAGAGTTTTACATGAAAGGATGTTATACTGGATGTATATTACATTTTCAGGAACACATTGTAATCACATAGACAGCTTGAAAGACAAACAGGGTTTATGCTCTTTCAAAATAACTGATAGTCATTCAATCATTGGTATATTTGCTCAATACAACACTTGGCAATTGGAATATAATAATGTATAAGCAATACAATCTCTATCAACATGGAGCTCATAGTGTGAACTAATACTAAAGAAGCATTTGCATAAATACCAAATTACAGTATTGTGAAGGAAATGCACTTGTAATTAGGAGAGCATTTTGTAGAAGAAAGCTCTCTTTTTGCCTTAGATGAAAGAATTTTCTGAAACTAACAGTTCAATGTGAAAAGATAAGCAGCAGTTAACCAAGAAATTAAGTAGGTGGAGAAAGAGGGCAGAAGTATTACATAGAAATATTACATACAAAGACCTCGAACTGGGAAGATGGCATATTTGAATGTCTTTGAAGGTCATTTCCTGAGACACAAAGAGGGAAACATAGAATGGTACTAAATTATTCTGGACAGATACACAGGGTTGATATCATGCTGCATTTTATAGCCATTTCAAAGATCTATGGCCTTTAACCTAAGAGCAATGGGAAATCCCACAAGGCTTTTAAGGAGGATGAGAGGAGCTGCACTGAATCAGTTTTGCACTTCAAAAAGATGAGTGGGGAAGGGCCAGTTCACATAGCTGAACATGATGTATACTGCATAAACCTAGGGAATGCCATTAGCAGCACAGTCTAAATATATGGATCCCGCAGGGCTGTGCATATTGTGAGCAATAATAGTTAGACTCAGAGCCAGCTCTCCTGGTCTGAGGACTGGGATTTCATTGAGGGCAAATTTGAGTGAGAAATATTAGAG